ACGCCTTGCCTTGGAGTTGCTATGCAGTCTGAGGCTTCATTGTGTGCACGCCAACCACATGAACACATGCATGCTTACAAATGGGTGTGTGTGCACCTTCACAGGCCATAAACATGCACATGCATATACACACCTCTGCTTGTCTCAGAGAACTTAGATTCCTGGCACTGAAAAGGAACATTTCTGGCCTGTTTCCTCTGCTACATTTGTCTTTTAGCAAAGATTCTAAAACTTTGTGCAATGTGGTTTGGGGGAAGAAAGCTATCAGAGGAGTCCTGGTCCAAGTTGCCCTTCTCTGTTGGCAGGACTTTGTGTTCTATGCCCCACGCCTGAGAATTAACAAGCGGATCCTGCAGCTCTGCATGGGAAACCATGAGCTGTACATGCGCCGCAGGAAACCTGACACCATTGAGGTGCAGCAGATGAAGGCCCAGGCACGGGAAGAGAAGCATCAGAAGCAGCTGGAGCGGTATGTGGCTTGGCACTGGGGTGGGCATGTGACAGCTAGCCTGCCTGTCAGGTGACCTCCAGTGGCTGTTCTTTTCCCGTCGCCCACATCCCCAGCTTTTTAGTCCCAGCATCAGCACTGAGGAGGGAGCTGGGCTCAGTGTCTGTCCCCTTCATCCTACACCCGTGGTGACAGGCCTGTGGCACACGTGCCACAGCAGGCTGTATTGTTGAAAGGTTCTCCGTCGCTGTCCTAGACCATCCGGATAAAGACTCTCAGAGGACCCAAGACAAGCTCCTTGCAGATGTGCCGCCACGTCCGTGTGCCAGGCCTGCCAGAGCACAGCCCTCTATCCTTCCTCCTCTTCCATTCTACAGGCAGCAGCTGGAGACCGAGAAGAAGAGGAGAGAGACTGTTGAGAGGGAGAAGGAACAGATGCTGCGGGAGAAGGAGGAGCTGATGCTACGGCTGCAGGACTATGAGGAGAAGACCAAGAAGGCAGAGAAAGGTGGGGCTGCACAGTCCCACAGTGGTTCTGGGTCTGTCTGTTCCCACAGAGAGGCAGGCAGGGCCTGGACAGAGCTAGGAAGGGAAACTTGAGGAACGCATGTCAGAGCTTAACATGTTACCCAGAAACGGAGACTTGGAACAGAGAAGTGATGACATGGTGTTGCGATTAGAAAATAACTCTGTACTTTAGTAACTTCTATGCTAATTTAGTTTTTCCCTAACTCTTTGAAGTGAGTTCCAAGTCAGCCCATTTTCCTGATGAGAACATTAAGGTTCAGCAAGGCAGTGTCATCTGCCCACGGTCACTTGGCCAGTGAGTGGTAAAGCTGTGTGGTACCACACCCCAACCTCCTAGATTCAAAACCAAGGGCTTCTTCAAAGCAATACTTCTGTAGTTGTCCAGACACATCTCAGCACCACCACTGTTCAAGGATCACACCACCAGCTCTACCCCCAGGCCTCTGGTGTGTGCCACTGCACAGTGATGGCTGTTTGCTGGCAGCCAGGAAAGACCTTGGCAGGGCATGTCAGTGTTGTAAGCACATGCTGAGATGAGCACATGCTCCTCTTCTGAGGAGAGTGGTACCAAGAGGGTCACATTCTGGCTGGGAAGAGCGATGTCCAGTCATCTCGGGGAGTTGTCACAGAAACATAAGGTACCGTGAGGTGGCTCACCCTCTGTGACTCAGTCCAGCTGTCGGTGGTTCTGGGAGAGGGTTCCCCCATGTGCTTCATCCCACCCTTGGATGGGAAAGGAAGACTAGGGCTTCAGAGCTGTGGTTTGGTGTTTTCCACAGAACTCTCCGACCAGATCCAGAGAGCCCTCCAGCTGGAGGACGAGAGGAAGCGAGCCCAGGAGGAGGCAGAGCGCCTGGAGGCTGACCGTGTAGCTGCACTTCAGGCCAAGGAGGAGCTGGAGAGACAAGCAGCAGATCAGATAAAGAGCCAGGAGCAGCTGGTAAGGACTGCCTGGGTTTCAAGATGCTGAATTATAGAGAAGCTGCTTCTGCACCAACACCTGCCTTGTAGTGACTTTCCTCGGGGGCTATACATGGATCTCCCCAGGGGAGTCCCAGGTTCAGAGGTACATGTGGCCACCCAGGGTCCCACAGAAACAGGGCGGCACTGATGAGCCTTGCAGCCATGGTGAGAGAGGAAGGGACACAGGGTGTCACATGGAGGCCATTTACCAGCACATGTGAGCATCATTCACAAATGGACTCTGCCCAAAGAGCTCCAGAAGCCACTTCAGTGTCCCCTTCCCTTCCAGGCTACAGAGCTTGCAGAGTACACTGCCAAGATCGCCCTCCTGGAGGAGGCGCGGCGGCGCAAGGAGAACGAGGTGGAGGAGTGGCAGCACAGGGTGAGTGTGCCCGGGTGATGCGTCCTTGTAGGTGGGTTGGGAGTGGGGTCTGGGATATTTCACTGATCTTTGCCAAACCAGCTGTACTAAGGGAGCAGAAATGCCTCTAGGAACGGGCTTGACCTTGTACACTAAGGAGTATGGTTCAGGGATTAGCAGAGGAACAACGAGCCTCTTATTCACTTCTACCGCTTTCCTCCTGTCGCCCTGCATGTTCAGCCATGATCAGGAACTAGTTCTAAATCTGATTACTTGGATATACCCCCTGCAAACGGCGTCCAATAGTTGGAATGCATTTCGGGCCACCATGGAAAACCCAGCACCTGGGAGGTCTCTAGCCCTGAGTCCCTGCTCGGCCACTCAGTATGATGAGCCGGGAAGGTAGCCTTACCTCTGAGTCTCAGTCTCCTTATTGCGGGATGGCAGCAACACCCAACCCCCAAGTGCTCCCTGTAGTCTGGACATCACATGCACAGCCCACCAGAGTTTGATAAGCTGCAGCTGTACTCACGAGCCCGTCCCTCCACCGCGTCCTGTGTTTCAGACGGTCTAGATGTGCTTTGTGCTGGGGGCTTCTGTCCCCTCCACCCCTCTAGCCTGGTGCCTCCCTCTTGGTTTCCACTCCACATTTCTGTTCCCCAGCTACAAGCAGAAGATGCGTAGGTTTTTGAGACCATGAGAAAAGCTAGTTGCAAAGCAGGTCAGACCAAGCTCATGTCCAGGAAGGGATGGAGGTGGGTGGGTTTAGGTTGTATCTCATGAAGACGCTGGATGGATTCAAGGGCAGGAACGTGCTAGATGAGCAGCCCCCAAGGAGAGCAGGGAGACCACATGCTGAAACTTCAGTGGTTTCCTCCCTTAGCTGGGGGATTTCTTTCTTTTCCAAAATGTATACAGTGAGCACATACTAGGATTAAAGGCACAAAAAAGGAAACAGCACTTGTAAAAATGTCCACCCTCTGGCATACGGGTTTTCTTGTGCCATGGACCCTCATGCTGAGCAGTGCTGCAACAGCCAGGAGAGGGGGAAGGACCACCACATCCACTTACAGGAAACGGTGCCGACAGGGGCTTGTGGGCGAGAGCCGCTCACCTGTCTCTCAACCTGCTTTCCAAGGCCAGAGAAGCCCAGGACGACCTGGTGAAGACCAAGGAGGAGCTGCACCTGGTGATGACGGCCCCGCCGCCCCCACCACCGCCTGTGTATGAGCCTGCGAGTTACCACGTGCAGGAGAACCTGCAGGAGGAGGGTGCGGAGCCCATGGGCTACAGTGCCGAGCTCTCCAGTGAGGGCATCCTGGACGACCGCAACGAGGAGAAGCGCATCACCGAGGCCGAGAAGAACGAGCGCGTGCAGCGGCAGCTGCTGGTGAGTGCAGGCTTGCCTGGGTTTCCTTTGCACTTCCCGCCAGGCCTCCAGGAGCTGCCCCATCGCCCTCCCCGCCTCCCCTAGGGTGGGGTCCCTGGTGTCACAGGAGCGCAGGCCGCTGGCTGACACTGCTTCCCACTGTAGACGCTGAGCAACGAATTGTCCCAGGCCAGAGATGAGAACAAGAGGACCCACAATGACATCATCCACAACGAGAACATGAGACAAGGCCGGGACAAGTACAAGACCCTGCGCCAGATCCGTCAGGGCAACACCAAGCAGCGCATTGACGAGTTCGAGGCCATGTAGAGGCCAGGGCAGTGCAGAGGGCGCCTGGCAGCGGGGCTCTGCCAGAGGGTCTGGGCAACCTCGGCACACTGGCTCTATAGTGCGCTAAACCCAGAAACCCCTCGCCACCTTCAGGTCCCTTACAAAAGAGCAGTTACCCAGTGGAAGTACTGTGGGCCGGGTGCCACCCTGGTTATTTTGCCCAGCTGTATCATAGTGCCAAACAGGCCCGATTTTTATAATTATCAAATCATTTCCTGTTTTATGCTTGGAGCAGGACTGATGGAATTAAGAGGCCTGTAAAATCCAAGTACAAACTTCACACTGGCTTGTGTGATGCAAGGTTCAGTATCATTAAAGAAACCATATCGCGGCTTACATCTGTGCCATACGTCTACTTTTGAAATGAGCTTACACTGATTTGTTCTTGATTGCTATGAAGGATCCATCTTTGTATAGTTACATGTTTTGAGGGGTGAAAAATTAAGTCTAAACTAAAGCCCTCTCCCACATGCATTGATTTCCTTCCTCCGACTTTGTTCAGCTGGCAGAGATCTGCCATGGTCATGGGATGGATGATACAGGAGGACTTCCTGATAAACTTTTGGTTTTTTTGCTTAAACAGTTAGAAGAATACATTGTTGGACTTAACACCTAACTAATAATCAGCTATAGAGCATAGTATTTATATGTAAGTGATAATATGGGTTTGTAACATTAGTTTTAAAAAGGGAAAGTTTTGTTCTGTATATTTTGTTACCTTTTACAGAATAAAAGAATTACATATTAAAAACCCCATAACCGTGGCACTTGATTTGATGTGATGGAAGGGCAGTAATGAAACTGATTACTTGATGTAATCACATTTGTAAAAGTTCTTTTCAGTGTTCTGTGTATTGCACATTTCGGCGTTTCTGTGTAACCGTGTCTGAAATACCACCATAAAATCAATCAGACTCAAGTCCTGAAGAAACAGACCTGAAAGAACTTTGTTCTCACCTATTTCCTCCATTCCCACATCAGCTTTCCTAAGCCACTGGCTCTGCTCATTCTTAGCTTTCCTTTCTGTGCACTGCTTTGCCCTGTTTCAATTCGCATTCCATGCTGCAGACACACAACACTCACTGTGCAGAGGTGTGAGGCCTGCTCGCACTGCCCAGGTCCTCTGCAGCCCCGTCAGCCATGCCCTGTGAGGGGCTCCCACGTCCCCTGGGCCCTAGAGCTTACCACCTGGAAACGGCATCCACAGCGATGGCTAACTGCGCTGAGGTTCCCCACGGGCCAGCGGGAGGGACTGAACACCCACCAGCCTCATTTTTCTCTGAATGCACATAACAAAGCTGTGATTTTCACTGTTTGATTAAACAGAGATGGGTAATTGCTGAGCATTTATTGAAATCTTGCCATTTTCCATGACTCAAACTAGTCAATCCAAGACTGATTTGTCACAGTGATAATTGCTCTGTTGAATACAGATGTGGAGGGCTATTTTAGGCACTGATACAGAACTGAATTGGAGTGTACATAATCCTGAGGTTCTTGTCCAGCAGTCACTCCACACCCTGCTACCCTTAGCAGGCACACAGCACTTCAACACACCCGTTTTACCCTGGAATTCTGAAGCTTTTCCTCAGTGCAGGATAAGTGTCATATCTGTCCATAAATTGGGGCTGGAAAGAACTTTCTGCCACTGAAGCTTTGATTGTGAACATGAGTCTGTACCACCAACAGCATCTCCCTCTGTAATGAGACAGACAGGTTAGTGATGGTGGCTTAGGACACCATCCCAACCCTTCTCAGCTTTTAAAAACAAGGGCCAATGAGGTGTGCTTTTCACTTCACCTCAAGAAAATGTCAGGTTGAGAAACACCCCCAGTAGAACCATTATTGAGAGTATGCTGAGTATTCCTTCGAACTGACCCTTGTTTCCATCCCTGTAGTGTGTCAGGGTTTGGTGGCTGATTCTCTACCCAAGGAAGTCAATAGCTTTAGTACAATGGCTGTGGACTGTGGGAGCCAGGTTTGTTCTCAAAGGGAGTTTCTTTGGAAAAAGTGCTTTGGATAACATAGGTGTCATTTGAGGGTTGTCAGACATCTGGGCTGTCTGGTTGTTACCATGTGTGGGAGACCACTGGCAGCTGGTGTGTGGCACAACCCCCCCAGCAAAGGGCTGCCCACACAATGCCAGAGCCACCCCCACCTGTGAGCAGCACTGAATAGTGTCCCTGTTTGTCCTCTCAGTGAAGCACTTTCTGAATTAACATTTGTTTGGGTTAAGATGTTTTCTTTTAATAATCTTATGATTGACAACAAATAAGCAAATTCTGTACCTTGCCCATTTTGGGGTCTGTAACTTGTTTCTTTAGCAGCTCTAAATCTGATTTAAATTGTCAAAATACTTTACTGTATTATAGCTCCCTTGTAGACTAAGGAATTTCTATTTGTGGTGGGTAGAGCCCATTAAATTGCTGTTGTTACAGAAGCACTTTTTCATCTCATGGAACCCAGTGCAAGTAAGACAATCATAAAAACATAACAAAGCTGTGATTTCCACTACAGTAGACCCTCAAGTTAGGACTGGCCTGACATGAACAACTTGGGTTGTGACTGGAATTTTAATTTATGAAGTCGAGTTATGACCCAAATGCTAGTCCCTTGTCCTTCTAGATGGTTTTAGATACAGATTTATTCTGGAAGAAACATAACATCCTTTCCTGTATAGGGTTGAGAAATCCTGGGCCAGTGTCTGCCTAAGGACACTGAAATACGGTGCCTGTATACAGGAGAGAGACTGAAGGCTGTATAGAAAGAAGAGCCTGAGCCTACAATTGCGTTTTTAAGTCGAGGGTCCACTGTATTTGAGAAACATTGGGTGACACATTACCCATGTAATATCTTAGACTTACTTGAACCAAGTCTGGCTCCCCCCAGCAAGTGGTCGTTCATACCAAAAATGGCCTGGTCCCACACAGTTAACTCCAAGCTTGCCTGTCTCAGCTGAGACCTGGTTACACCGTTGAACACAAAGGAGTGTTTCCACTGGGGACAAGCTTGCTTCTTCAGCACTGGGGACTTGAGACGCAGTTTTTGTTGGTCTGGCAGAGTGAGACATCTGAAGGGAAACAGACCCTGTGACCACTGCCATCAAAACAGCCCCCTCTTCCTATTAATACTTGTGCTTGAGCCCAAACTAGACACTTTCGTGCTGTATCCAATGTAAATACCATTCTCAGCCATGAATTAGGATAGGCACTACAAGACTTGGCTGTGTCCCTTTTGCTTCTTTCAGAGGCGGATTCTGCCTCAGGTTTTACCCTTAAACTAGATTTCTGAGGCCACAAGGTCCTCATTTTAATCGCTCCTGATCACCACTTAATGGCACAGGCTCTAGACACAAAATCTCATTTTCCTCTGTTCTCAGGAAAATAAATTCAAAAAAGCCAACTCAGCTGGCCCAAGGCCATAAACAGAAGTGACAGGATTAGGACACCAAGTATAGTTCTGTCTAAACAAAGCAGGCTGTCATTTTCCCAGTCTGTCAGTGACTGGGGATTCAGTGCTTCAATATAATTAATTTTGTTTACTTTACTTTTTGGAGATATGAACACACTTGCACTGACTCAGAATAAAAGGTGGACTTATGTATGTGTCAGCTAATCCAAGAGAAGTTTTAAGCTAAGAAAATATTTACTAACTAGATTTTTGTACTTTTTTTTTTTTTTTTTACCAGGGATCAAACTCGGTCCTTGTGCTTGCGAGGCAGGCGGCAGTACCGCTGAGCTAAATCCCCGGCCCTTCTGTACTTGTTTTTAAAGCTGATTTGTTGCTATAACAAGGAGTAACAAAGTATGAGCTTCAGGTTAAAACGCTATTCCAAATGAAGGCTCAGCATTCCAAATTCCATGAATTCTTGGAATCAGGATCTTTAGTAGCTGCTATGTTGGATTTTTTTCTTAGGAAATTTAAAGTAAAATGAATCTAACATGGCCACACTTCTTGGTATGTCCTACAAAGGTAATTGATAAACAGTATTTAGTTACTCATACCTACCCTTTAACAAAGGAGTTTAAGGTGCCATCTGACCGCACAGGTAAATTCTTGGCTCCCAGCACTACCAAACAGAGTTGGCCATTAAGTGATGGCTGATCTCCTAGAAGGAAAGGGCTGTCAAACCCACTTCTGAGACTTCAGTATGCAGTCCCGCTGCCTACAACTGAGTGTGGTAAGAGGGCTGTCACGGCCACCAAATCCCATGGAGCAGGAGAAAATGGGCATTTCCCTTCAAAGGCTCTACTGGCGCTGCTCTCAAGCTGCCCATGGTGATGACAGGATGCAAGGATTGTCAAAGCCCCAGGAAAGGCAGGGGCTGCACAGTACAGAGGAACCCACAGAGAAAAACATGTAGAAGTTTTAGTCTGGCTAGAGCCAGCAGTTTTGGGACAACTGGGAGTCCCAAGGCCGTTCTAAGGGAGTGAGAATGACCACAGGGTGCTTGCTGCTGGCCTGCTCGTGGCCTAGTAAACTCAGAAGCAGAATTTCCTCTTTCTTCCACCAAATAGTCACTAATGTGCAAGGGAAATGACTGTTCTTCTTGTCTTCCTTCATCTGCCCTCAGTTTCCACACACTGCACATTATCTAAGTTATAGTCAGCAGTCCCCATATCCTCAAGGACCTGTTCTTGGTCCACGTCACCTGTTGGACAACAGCTCTTTCCTCTGAGCCTTGTGGTTACCACTGCCCTGAGTAGTTCTCTTGGTTCCTTGGGAACTAAATTCCTTGTCAGTAACATGTCCCAGAGTGTAAAGAGGGGCCATGGAATCACCAGAGACTGTCCAACCTGCGACTGGGAGCCCAAGCTAGTGTTCTAGAGTGGTGTAAGTAGGCACCGGAGGCCTTGCCTGTGAGGTTGCTCATGCCCCCTCCTACACCCCCCCGCTATGGGTTCCGAGGAACCACCTCCCAGGCTGCCTCCACTTCTCTGGGTGACACTCCCGGTGTGGGGTCAGTAGACAGAATGAAACACTACGAAACTCTCTGGCCCTCCCTCAACCTACCTGCCCTCCAGGTTTGGGGTATAGTAACAACAGACAAATCCTCGGGGGGCAGAGTCACCTACCTTCTTTAGCCTCCTGGAGTTTTCTAGGCTCTGCAGGAAGGACCAATTTGGCCCGAACAGCAAGTTCTCCATTGTTCTGAGGAATACTATCTTCGTATTTCTCAGCCTATGGACAACAGGCAGAGGTGAGAAGTAAGATTGCCCCCAGAACCTGCGGTGCACTTGTGTTGTCTCAGCTCCATCCACATGTGCTCCCTTCACTACCCCTGCAAAGTTCTTAGGCTCTCCGCGGCCCTGGGATGGAGTGGTCACGATCATACAGATGGCTCTTCCTTCCTTTGTAGTGACTCACCTCTGCCACCCTCACCGCCACCCCCAGCACAGAGAGAAACCACCCCAGCAAACCAGAGGCCAACAGGCCCAAGGAAGTAGGCCTATGGCACTAAGACAGTCCTAAGAAAACCTGGCATAACCTGTTGAACAAAAAAAGTAAATAAAAGCAAGCCTACCCCATCCCCCCTTAGGTCAATAAGATCTCAAGCTACCCTTCCAGACATGCCAAGGTCTGCTGCAGGGACTGCACCCAGAGGGAGCCACAGTCTATGAAACCATAATGGCTCTTCAGGCCTTGGGTCTGACACCACTTTGTCTAACCCACTGCTGAGGGCACCACCCTGCCTATCAAAGTGGTTGTCTGGTCATGGGTGATTCAGAAAGTGAACGAAGGTGGGGGACTTAGCTCAGAGATTCTGCCACCTGCCTCATAAGAGCAAGGTCCAGAGTTCAATCCCGGTACCAAATAAATAAAGTGAATGAAAAAAAGGACCCATAGAAGAAATGATCCTGGAGTCTCATCAGTCTTTCACTCAGAGGGGTGAGAGAAGTATACTCCGAAGGATCTACATTTACTTGGTCCATATGCTGGGGCAGATCCCAGCAGCAGAGAGAAGCAGCCCCTCACAGCAGGGCTGTGAGCACACAATCCCATCCAACACCAGGCCACAATCCAGTAGCTGGCCTCAGGAGAGGCTCCTTTTTGCTTGGCACTCTGCTCTTAGTCCACTTGCCAAAGAAGCCTCTGTTGAAGAACCTTGGCGGTGGCCTATCTTACACCAGGGGCTGTCCGCACAGATCTTCCCGGGCCTGTCTAGGCTGACAACAGAGGAGTAGGGCACACAGAGTGTACCAGGGATTTAGCCTCTGCAAAGGGAGTCCATGGTCGGGGAGAGGAACATTCAGTCCCAAAGCAGACATCACCTTGGCTCGGAGTGGATACGAGCGGAAAGATTGTGTTGCATTGTCTTCAAAGTCCCATGTGGCCAGAGGAACAACCACTTCTCCGAGGAACGCCCTTCGGGTGAGTGTGCCCAGGTGCCACACGGAGACGTGCAGCTTCCGGGTCACCAGCTGGGCAGGGTCCACCTGGTACTGCGGACACACAGGGAGATGGTCAGTGGAATCCCAGGGCTGAGTCCCAAGACTCATTTGAGTCATCCAGAAACACTGAACTAACCTCTTTGTTCCCATGATGCCCATGCCCAGTCACTGCAGCCCAGACCACCGCCCTGTGAGAAATGAAGCTGTCCCAGGAAGAGTGTGAAGCCACGGGCAGGGGCCTCCTTCCATGCCATCCTCCTGAGGCCAGCACCCTAATATCCACTGCACTGCCACCCTCCTGGGGGCCCCCCAACTTCCCTCTGACACTCAGGCACACTTCTTGGGGCCTCACCAATTGGTCACCTCTAACTCCTTTCCACCATGTCAGTGAAGACTTATTTTCTACTGCTCCGTGGCCACAAGCTGGGCACCAGCTGCCCCAAAGACTGCTGCAGACCCCATGGGGTATGGCACAGAAGGTGCTTCACAGAACAGGGACAGGCAACATCAAGGTCTCATAGCCGCTGTCTCGGTCCATCCTCCCAGGCCCATGCCAAGGGTCCACAGGTGCGTAGGATGCTCATCGGAGTCCAGGGTGCCCCACCGGAACATGGCGCCCAGAATACTTGGAGGCTGCATTTCTAGATACTCAACTTTCACACTTTTCTTGAAACAGACTGGAGGAGATTCTCATGGTCTACCCCAATCTTCCCTGATGGCCTCCCTAGGGCTGCATAAGCCTCCTGAGTGCCAAACCAGGGGATATTTTGAAATATGGGTTTCTATAATCTTTTTTTGTTTTCCCCTCTGGTACTAGGGACTGAACCCAGGACTTTGTATATGCTAAGTAAGCACTCTACCACTGAGCTACATCCCCAGTTTTTTTGTTTTATTTTGGTTTGGGTTTTTGAGCCAGGGTCTTACTAAATCTCCCAGGCTGGAATACATGAATTTCTTTAAGAATTAAAAGAAGAATTACAAGAAGAAGAAGAATTACAAGAAGGAGGAGGAAGAAGAGGAGGAAGAAGAGGAAGAAGAAGAGGAAAGCCAGGTGTAATAGTGTAGACTTGTAATCCCAGCACTCTGGGAGGCTGAGGCAGGAGGATCACTGTGAGTTTAAAACCAGCCTGGGCTACATAGTGAGTTCCAGGTCAGCCTTAACTACATAGTGAGACCCTGTCTCAAAAAAC